TACTTTTTGATGAGGTAGATGTTGGAGTAAAAGGGTCCAGTCAAAGCTTTAGTATTTACATAAGTGATAAAGGAATATTAATACTAAATATGGATAGCCTAGATAAAAAGTCTCCCAATTTATGCAAAGCAAATAGAAAATAATGGTAGAAACTGCAAAACAAAGTTGTAGAGACAAATGACAATACACATTTATCAGACTGTGATAGAGCAAGCTGACTGGGGTTTAACCAGCTGAACTGAACCAACGTGGTGGAATGAAGTGGTGAAGAGCATGGATTCCACAGCTAAAGTGCCTGGTTCAAGTCCCACCTCTGTCACGTCATCATCATTGTCATCATCATCATCATTATTATTATTAGGTACTGTGCTTTGAACCCAGGGACACTTTGCCACTGGGCTACATCCCTAGCCCTTGTTTTGTATTTTGAGACAGGGTCTCATCTGACTAAATTGCTTAGGGCCTTGTTGMATTGCTGTGGCTAGCCTTGAATATGTGATCCTCCTGTCTCAGCCTCCCAAGTTGCTGGATTATAGGCATGCACCACCATGCCTGGCCTCTGTCAGTCACTTTATATCTGTGTGAATTTGAGTACGGCACTTACTGTACTCTGTGCCTCACTTTCTTTACTTATGAACCCAGAGGAAAAATGGAATTTTCTCCTTATGAACATTTCATGACTTAGTATATGTAAATTGAAGCAGAATAAGGCCTTTCTAAGTGTCTTTATTGGCAATAAACAAGTGACACTTATCACAGGAATTAAATAGAAAAAAATAGATAGCTCCAACAATATCTATATTTATTTCACAATAACATTGATCATATGTGAGGTCAAATGAGACTCAATAAATAGATAGCAAAAGGAGGGATTATATATCCCACATTCCTTTGCACAACAGAAAACAAACTAATGAAATAGCCATATAATATAAGTATTTCAATGAAAAATCTTTAGGTCAGGCGAAAGAAATTCTTACAAAACATTATTTCATTTTTTT